CTGCTCGTACGATCAGGAGCTGCTTCGACCTGCAGTGAGATGAGTGTCAGTGTCTTCTCTTCCAGTTGCCCCAAAAACTACAACAGTGGCGAGACACGTGAGTCAGGTTTATTCGGATATAGTTCGATGTTTTCTTGCCTGGTTTTTAGTGCCCTGCTGTCACGCAAACCAGGTCCAGAATTCGGGACTCAATGAAAAGTAGCCTAGTTGTATCTATCGCACTTCGCGGTTTATCGTATCGTATCTGATCTATCTATCGTATCGTATCGGTATCTATCCGATCTATCTATCCAATCTATCTATTCATCTATGTAGTCGCATCTATCGGTATCGGTATCCGTGCTTACGTCCTATCTATCCATCCTATCTAATCGTTCGTACTCTATCGTATCCATCTATTGATCCACTGCCCAAAAACTACCAACAAGGTTTCAGACAACGGAGTCAGGTTATTCTATATATTACCGATTTTTCCTTTGCCTGTTTTTTATGCTGCTGCCAACGCAAACATTTCCAATCCAATTGGATCAATAAAGTACCTATCTATCTATCCATCTTTTTCCGTCGCATCTAAACCATCTATCTAATCATCTTAAACTTATCTACTGTATAATAATCCATTCCTGCCACTTAATGTATGTATAATATCCTGCTACAATTGTGTTACTGTAATGGTTTTATTGCTTGCCTTGTTTTTACCAATTAGACAAACCTTAATGAACGTGGTGAAAAATGTTGATCTTTTCGAGACGCTGTGATCGGATCAGCTGTAACGTTCCTTAGACTGTCAAGAAACTCCCCGGTCCCCGGATCACATACTATCAGCCTCAGCTTCCAGACCAACATCAATCATTCCGCCCAAGATTTTCACGGATCGGTAACCGTCGCCCATTTACCCTTTCCGGAGACCACATCTCCATCAGCATCATCCAGAAACGAGGAGGGGCTTCTTCCAGCACAGGAAACTGAACGGATACACGGGGGCCTCCTTCCTGTCAGCGACAAGTCCAAAAGACCCAAAAAAAGACTTCCCTGATCCACAGTGGAGATGAAGCCTGCCTGAGGAAAAGGCAACGCTCAGCAACCTTCCCTCGCCAAAATCTAATCGTCTTCATCACGTCCGGTATGCGTGTAACACAGAAGGAGTCCATGACCTCCCGAAAAAAAAGGATTTTCCTCGCCACTATTACCCTTCAAAAAACGTCATGGGGTTAAGGAAAGATGTGACGAGAATTCATGAGGATTTAGGAACAAACACCTGGAGAAATCTGACTGAATTTACGACTGAGCGAATGATGATGAATGATGATGAGATGATGAAATGATGATGAATGCCAACCATTTTGATGTAATTGAGTGGCGTTTGTCGTGGGAAACGACAGTTTTCCATACAGCGGAACTAATAAAAGTGCCAATCAGATAACTTCTCCCTCTGTTTTGTTTATATGCCTGTTGCCTTTATAAACTACCTTGACAAATATATCTTCATTACCATGGTTGGAATTTAAATAAAAAAATGTAAGTAAAAACGTGCTCCGCACTCAGCGTCCTGAAATAAATGTAGTTATTACCACAATGAATCCACAATAGATCAAACTTCAAGTGAAATAGCTTGAAAGATTCCATATTTCCCACCTTTGGTGTTGAAAATTCCAAACGTATGAACACAAGCACAGGGGGTCAAACTCAAATACACAGTGGGCCCAAAATAAAAAAAAATGGGTGCTAGTCCGAGGGCCGGGACTGGTTCAATGTTTATTGCAGAACAGTATTGAAAATGACTTATTGCACATATTAAACTGGAACTAACAAAGCCTTCAATTTATTGATTATAAAAACATACATAAACATTAAAATCAAGCTGTATTCATATTCGTTATGGCTCTATCTGCCGAGTCATTCTTATGATTACATTTTCCCATAGGCCCCAACAACCAGCAAGCTCAAAAAATGGCTATTTTCCCTAAAAGAGAAAAAACAAACATGCTGCTTTGGTGCAGTCATCCAATGTTTGGGCCAGGCTCTGAGAACTGAGGGAGACCCTCCAAAGGATGGAGTGAAAGGGTGCGTGCAAATATACCGGCGGGGCCGATCTCTAATAGGAATTAGAAAATATCCTGCGGGCCGAAATTAAATCCACCAAGGGCTTGATTTGGCCCCCGGGCCTTGAGTTTGACACATGTGCTCTAGCAAGTCATAAGTTGTAAAATGCTGGATAAGCAGCGTAACTTAAATCAACTGCGTCTGTCGGTTTTTTCCATGAACGTCTGAATGTTGCAGTCGCAAGGCATTGTTGGACAGCATTTCTCTTTTCTATCGTAAAGGCTAAAGGAGACTATAAAGGAAGCATTGGCGCTCGTTTCCTAACATCCTCCCGAGCAACGGTTTGTTCTCAGACCTTTGGAATGTCCCATTAGGCCAATAGTTCATTATAATCCACACGGGCAGATAAAGCAATGTATGGTAAATTCCAGGACTGAAATGATTATATTCATATTTCACATTCCTTTCTGTATTACTGGATCTATCTCTATGTGACTAAGTTATCATTATCTCAGGGTTAAATCCATGCATTGAACAGTGAGCAAACAGCCCCCTCTACTGGGGAATTATTTCTACATTTCTATATCTTTCCCTACAGGGACACACAGGGTCGGGGGGATTAACTACTACATACCTGTACAACATTTGTAATCAATAACCTGATCTGGGTATCAAAATATTAAAGTGATGTAACCTGATTACTTTCCGTTACTTTAGGATTACCTCAATATCAAATGCAATGCAAATAAATACAAGCGGAAATAAATGTTTTTTTTTACTTATTGTGCTTTTTGGGGTTTTCCCCCTCCTTTAGTGTGTTCTATAGGTTTTAGTGCATGTCAATGGTTTGCAAAGGCTAAAATCCCTGTGTTTCCTCCAGAGGGAGTTTTTCTCCCACACACTCGCCTGAAACGCCTCCATTGGACTTTGTACTTTTCTTCCTGAACATAGTGACTTAACACTCACGGTCTTCTATTGGCCAGTGCTCCAACACATTGTACATGATAGGCTAAGGGGCGGGACATCTGTAAGCGGTTGACCAATCATAACAGAGCCGGCCAGCTAACCAATCAGAGCAGACTGGGCTCTGGTTTCAGACAGAGGGTGAAAAGAAGTGCTGCAGCACAGGCAGTATGAGAGAAATAAAGAGCTTTTTAACATTAAAGCATGGAGACATGTTCCAGTATGAACCTGAGAATAATAGGGCCCCTTTAAGTGCATTATGTAAGACGACCAAACAATGAAACCTTAGAAAAGAAGAAACCAAGACCTTTTTAAAAGATGTGTCCTGTATCAGCTAAACAGAGAGGACCTTTGTGATGCAACCCTGTCTCCTGCAAATGACGTTCCCACAGAACTAAACTGCATTCTCAATAACGTTTAGCTAGAAACGTATTTTCTTCCACGTTACGTTCGTTATCCGTATATCAACGTATCTGCTAAATACAGTTATTTTCCTACCATATCTTCAGAAAACATATTTTGCTCCACCGTTACGTTTCTTTGAATCCGTATCTTAAAGACCTTTATTTTCAGCATATCTTTGGCCATTTTATTGTCTTGCTTATAATGAATAGTCATATTATAAATATCATTTAGAGCACACCATTTGAAATCCAGTAGGCGAAGGTTCCGTAATTTCGCCAGCTGTTACTCTCATGAGGCGAGGCAGAAAATAATAGTTTGGTAACATGCCAAAAAGCTTCTGTGTCATTTATGCACCTCAAACATTAAAACAAATCCAGAGTACGGTGTTTCTGTACTCCTCTAAGAAGAAAGACAGTAAACAGAAGGGTCTCTGTGACGCAAGAGTGGTGGTTGTGTTAGATGCGGATGATGATAGCCGAAAAAAATCAGTTTAGATGGCCGAAGAAAACTACACTACGCGCGCTAATCCCGCCACTATCGTTTGGACTACGAGTCCGTTGACAAACCCCGTGGATTGAATCTGTCAAACTCTGTGTTGGATGTTGGAGGGCAGTGCGCCGAAGTTACGCCGAGCGGCCAAACTCTTAGAAAATGGAACGGAAACGACGGGGCGCGAGAGCTAGGGGTCACAAGAGTCTGACTTAACGGCCCCCCCAGAACTACACAATGCCTGGCTATTGGTTGTCGGCAAATCGCAACAGTGCTGTCTCTATGGCAGCGTCTGTGACTGGGGAATTGTGTTTAAAAGACGGTTTGTTTTTCCCAAAATTAGGAAGTTGACATATTTAAACTGTGCACGCCCGGGGAGGTTTAGGCGATAGGAAACACATTGGTGTGTAGCAAATGAAAACATGTAATTACTGAGATGGATGAAAATCGCTTGTGGTCCATAGATGGCAGCATTGAATACATATACCCAACATGGAAGGCGCATTTGTTACTTTGTAATTTCTAGCTCCACACAGATCAGAGGTTAACCTGGGTATTTTGACTGCCACTACATTATTTGAGTTACTTTGCAGAGTTCTGATTAATCGATCCGTGAAATATACAAACCCTTAAATCAGACTTATTACCCCTGCAGTAAACATTCAGGGGGAGGGTGATTGTCAAGTGCCAACAATCAGGGCAGAGATATTGATTAGGTGGTGCGTTGAGAAGACTAAAGGCATTTATCTCAGATGCTCGTATACGAGTATAGAAGTCGAATAAGCTTGCACAATCACCTATTTGGTCATATGAAGTTGTCAGCTGATTTTCAGGACAGGTTTTGTATAGGGTAGAAAATGGATCAGGACAAAAGAAGAGAGAGATCTTTCTTCCTGCAAACTGTTCAGAGTCTCTGTTACACAGAGGGGACACATGTTGGATGTAGAAGAGGACGAGGAGAAGAGGGGCACATCTTGATGTAGAAGAACAGGAGAAGAGGGGACACATGTTGATGTAGAAAGACATGAAGAAGAGGGGGACAATGTTGATGTAGAAGAGACATGAAGAAGAGGGGACACATGTTGATGTAAAGAACATGAGAAGAAGAGGGGACACATGTTGATTGATGTAGAAGAGACATGGAGAAGAGGGCGACACATCGTTGAGGTGTAGAAGAGACATGAGAGAAGAGGGGGACACATGTGATGTAGAAGAACATGAAGAAGAGGACACATGTTGATGCACAGGAAGAGGCATGAGAAGAATAAGGTAATTTGTGTTCAGAGAATAAGAAGTCAAAGTAAAAGGTCGTCAGAAGGAAGAATAGAGTAGTGGCGACGATACCAGGAAACATGTACTTAATACGAGAAACTAAGTATTTGTACTCCACTACGTTCCCACCTCTGACTGGCAGCGCCATTGTGAAGGAGTGGAGGAGAGGAGGAGAGGAGAGATGGAGAGACTGAAGGAAGACGCAGTGCTGGATTTGCTGAATTAGCTGTAGTCATCTGAGGTGTTGACAAGCTCTCTGTGATTTGATCCAATCATGACCAAGCCCAGTTTCTACAGACTCTACTAGTGTCTACTTTGGTATGTCGAACGCGGCCAGGTCAGTGAGAAATAACGATGAAGTAAAAGGAGAAAAGAAGGCAACTTGTTCAGTG